ATTTGTTGCCCAATTTTAAAAAAGGTTTTATTCTTGTTATGGTTGCAAATAATTGAATAACATTTGTGTAACTATTTTAGGACTAGTTTCATACCGAACTCAATCACTATCAGAAGCGTTCCCAAAACTTTCATCCGTAGACTTTGGCCAACAATTGGCTGAAATGTGCCTTAAATTAAAGCCTAAACAAAGGATATCAGCATTGGATGCCCTAAAACATGAATATTTTACTGATTTACCTCAACAAGTGTTTCATTTGAACGATAGTAAGCAATCTATACATGAAATTTTATATTTGTAACTATCTATAGGTTTTCATCTAAATTTCAATTATAAGCGACACTTAACCCGATTCAAGTTGACCGCACCCTATTAACTGGTGCCCACATTACTATGTTTACACATATTACAAGTGATATATCAATACATAATAAGTGACAGTTAAACCTTCTATCTTGCAATAGTGGGCAGGGTGACCTATAGAGTGATCCTATAAACTACAATCTTTATCAACTGAATTGTAGCTAAAAATGGAGTATTAGGTGTGAATTTGTTTTAGAAGTGATGTCCACTCGGATCGGGTCGAGTGGTATATAAATGAGGTTTTGTTTGGAGCTATGGATGGATGCGATGAAGTGTTTTGTATAATTATGTTTTACATTTGAACAGATGTATCGATATTTCAAATCCCCGGTTGTATTATGAGTTCAGAAAATAATAATTTTCCGGTAAGTGTTAAGAAAGTTGCGGCAAAATTGCGGCGATAATAGAGTGAAACGATTCATCTGATGGGCAATTGATTTTGCAATAAACACAATATTCAGTCATCTATTAATTTATTATAATTTACTCCAAAGATATTGTTATTAAATGATTTAACAAATGTTTCGATTGCAATATATATGTGTTTTGATTTAAATATATTTTTATTACAAATGCTTATAAAACAAAAATAATTTTTATTTGAAACTCAATAGCATTCCATAATTTAAGTTAACTTTTATTTACATGTGATTACAATAAGTTATACTCATTTTCTCGTTGTTTTATTCTTTTTAAAGTGAATGTAAATTAATTGTATTTCTTAACGTTAATATGTATTTTTAATTTTAATTATAAAAATACAAAATTCTTATTAATAAATAAATAATTGGTTGTACGAGTAAACAGAGCTTTGATTCTTCGGCAATAAAAACATGAGAATTAAACGAATCAATATATTTTCGTCGATTCATGTGTCAAATTCAAACTCATTTCATTCTTGAGATACTTTACTTTAATCAATGGTTTATCATAGTCTTTGTAATTATATTAAAACATTGTTCCTGTCCGGTCCGGTCCGGAGCCGACCCATTCCTATTCCTGTCCTGTTCCGGTAGATAATGTTAAAATATTTTCCGGTCCGGTCCTGTCCGGTCCGGTTTTTCCGGACAATCCTGTGGCTCAATAAATATAGCATAATTTATTTTAAAAACCTATTTAATTGTAAATTCATAATAATGAAACTTTTAATATGAATACACATTAAAATTAGATATAAGAAAAAGCAAATTATTAACATTCATCGGCTTAATTTCAATGCCATCTATTAATTAAAAACCATATAAAATATTTTCCTGACTTTTCCGGTTTTTTCCTGTCATGAATACATTCCTGTCCGGTCCGGTCCGGAGCCGATTCATTCCTGTTCCTGTCCTGTTCCGGTAGGTAATGCTAAATATTTTCCGGTCCGGTCCTGTTCCTGTACCGGATCCTGGAAAATACCGGATTCCGGATTGTATTTACAAAGACTAGTTTATCATTCATAATACATGGTAATGAACAATTATGTGCTATCATTCAAATTACTTTAAACCAATGCAATAAAAACGGCGAACACATGTTTGACTAATTTTTAAATGTTTTGAGCAAAATATTCTCACAAAACATGAAAGAATTATCAAGAATTTGAAAGAATATTTATAAATTGGCAATATTGAGCAAACTGAACACTTTTCGTAATGATTTAAAATAAATAATTGATTTCATTAGTTTGCTCATTATACATTGTATATTTCAACTTATAAAAAGTGTCTGGTGTTGAAAAACACCAAGATTCCACGATTTATAAAATTTAGTCTAAAAATGAAATTACTAAATGAAATGTTCATGTATAGCGAAAATAGTATTACTATGGATGCAATTTTGCCAATATTTGCTGAGATGGCTGAAAAACGTTTCAGCAAATACATCTTGCTTGATCTTATTCATGTATTGTATTCTAAATTATTAGATACTGTACAACAGATGTAATGTTACTGTAATATTGAATATTAACAAAAATATTAAATATTCTATAATCTTATAACATTATGTTGTAATGATTCATTACTAATGAATTGTTGTATATGAAACAATTTGCTGCAACTGTCCGTTTCTTATGAAGGCATTGTAAAGGCTTTACATTGTACTACGTTCATCAAATTATATAATTAATTATATTTAATATTTAGTAAATATTATTTAAGTGTCAAATTGAAATTCAATGCCGAGACTATTGAATCAATGATAGAGAAACATACATCATATGTATACATACTGTATACCTAAGAAATTCTTAGTAAGAATGTATTTAAGAATGTGACAATCGATTTGAGCCACACATATATGCCATTACGTAATCAAACATTTATGTCGTTATTTTTAACCACAATTCAGTATGAATAATGTGGTTTATAGGATCGTTCGGCTACCCCTCCCCCCCTCCCGGCCCCCCCGCTCTATGGGATTTAACATGGGATTNAATTTTGTATTTTTATAATTAAAATTAAAAATACATATTAACGTTAAGAAATACAATTAATTTACATTCACTTTAAAAAGAATAAAACAACGAGAAAATGAGTATAACTTATTGTAATCACATGTAAATAAAAGTTAACTTAAATTATGGAATGCTATTGAGTTTCAAATAAAAATTATTTTTGTTTTATAAGCATTTGTAATAAAAATATATTTAAATCAAAACACATATATATTGCAATCGAAACATTTGTTAAATCATTTAATAACAATATCTTTGGAGTAAATTATAATAAATTAATAGATGACTGAATATTGTGTTTATTGCAAAATCAATTGCCCATCAAATGAATGGTTTCACTCTATTATCGCCGCAATTTTGCCGCAACTTTCTTAACACTTACCGGAAAATTATTATTTTCTGAACTCATAATACAACCGGGGATTTGAAATATCGACACATCTGTTCAAATGTAAAACATAATTATATAAACACTTCATCGCATCCATCCATAGCTCCAAACAAAACCTCATTTATATACCACTCAACCCGATCCGAGTGGACATCACTTCTAAAACAGATTCACACCTAATACTCCATTTTTAGCTACAATTCAGTTGATAAAGATTGTAGTGTATAGGATCACTCTATAGGTCACCCTGCCCACTATTACAAGATAGAAGGTTTAACTGTCACTTATTATGTATTGATATATCACTTGTAATATGTGTAAACATAGTAATGTGAGGTCAACTTGAATCGGGTTAAGTGTCGCTTATAATTGAAATTTAGATGAAAACCTATAGATAGTTACAAATATAATATTTGATGTATAGATTGCTTACTATCGTTCAAATGAAACACTTGTTGAGGTAAATCATTAAAATATTCATGTTTTAGGGCATCCAAAGCTGATATCCTTTGTTTAGGCTTTAATTTAAGGCACATTTCAGCCAATTGTTGGCCAAAGTCTACGGATGAAAGTTTTGGGAACGCTTCTGATAGTGATTGAGTTCGGTATGAAACTAGTCCTAAAATAGTTACACAAATGTTATTCAATTATTTGCAACCATAACAAGAATAAAACCTTTTTTATAATTGGGCAACAAATCAAAAGTTTCCCAATAATCATAAGAAGGTGTTCCCAAAATGCGCCAAATCTTGTCCAATTGATCCAATGGATCCCTCACTCCCGGAAAGGCTGGACCGCCACATATCATCTCTAAGAATATACACCCGACACCCCTTCACCACAACATTACATTACTGTTCCCAAAATGCGCCAAATCTTGTCCAATTGATCCAATGGATCCCTCACTCCCGGAAAGGCTGGACCGCCACATATCATCTCTAAGAATATACAGCCGACACCCCTTCACCACAACATTACATTACATTACATTATTTCAATTTAGATTCAATTCAATGTTCAAAACTTGTACCAAATATCGAGAGAAGTGGAATAATTACGAGAACCTAATAATACATCAGGAGGTCTATACCATAAGGTGACCACTTCATGGGAATAGGTGTGCGATGGGATTGACTTAGCTCTGGCCAGACCTATGGGTTCATATATTGCAGTATATATAGTATATATAGTATATATTGTTAATATGTATATAGGTTAGGATTGGCAAAGCGAGTGTTTGTACCGAAATCTGCGAGTTTGAGTTCTCCGATGTGACTAATCAAAAGGTTCTGTGGCTTCAAATCCCTGTGCAATATATGCCTCTCGTGACAGTACGACAGCCCACGAAACAATTGAAACAAAAACAATTTCACATTTTTCGGGTTCAAACCACCCGAATGTCGCTCCAAGTATTGACTCAAATCTGTGTCCACGTATTCAAAGACAAAAGTGAGCGAATCTTTAGTATGAATGATGTCGTGAAGGGTTACGATGTTTGCGTGTTTAAGGCCTCGTAATAGTGAAGCCTCTCTGATGGCAGTGAAAGGCGTCCCCTCTTCCACTTGAAGTCGAATCTCTTTCAATGCAATCACTTTATTGGTCAGACTGTGTGTGAAATACAAGCAATCAAACCATACTATCATATAATCCTTATACATTATTCTAATGGATGAGTGCATACACTCTACTTACTTGCTGTAACCCTTATAAACGGTGGCATAAGAGCCTTCTCCTAATTGCTCTAATTTGACATATGATTCCATTTTACCAAACGATAAACTGTTTGTCTAGAAGTGAATCATTCATGTATTGTTCTGAGATTCAAACGACTCAAACTTACCGTAAAATCTATAGTTGAATATCGAGTAGACTTAGAGATGGGAACCGGAAATCCAATTGAATTGTTTGGAATGAAAACATCAGATTTGGGACGACTTTTGACTCTTGAAAATAAATGTTTTGAATGCAATGATCGCATAAAACTCGGAGCTTTCACTTCAGCCGATTCTGAATTGCAATGCTTTCTCTCTTCGATCGTTTCCATCTGTTTCTTCACTTTCATATCACAAACAACTGAATTGTCGAATAAGTTTTGGTCGGAATGAGAATCACTAGATTTGCATGAAGTGGTCCGCGGAGGGGGTGGAGGTGGACACAGAGATTCACTTTCGCACACATTTTGCTTGCATGTCATGTCGTGTTTGGCATTCTCTATATATTCAATGTTTGTCATTAGCTTTTGTTACAATCACTATATATATTGCTTACCATTTGGTTCACTATTTGAATGCTTTTCATCGTTTAATCGACTAAATCGAGAATTTGAAGCACTGGTCGTATCATTGCTTAAATAATTGCCATTCATTGAGATTCTGGTGATCTCCACATTCTGGACAACAAAATCAATCAATGAGTTAATAATATTTCAAAATTGCAATTATATGTCAATCTATACTCCATTCTCGTTGTGAAGTTCCGGCAATTGTTCTCTCGATAGCGCTATTCATGTGATAAACACAATCCCATTAAGACATGGATTGAGGCATTCATATCAATATCAATACTTACATAACTTGTCGAGTCTTAAACTTAATCTTTTCCTCAACTTATTTAGCGTTGATTTCGACTTTTGTTCGCATTTGTCGTTACCTTTCAAAACATTGAGAGGACATGTGATCACTCTATCACACAATATATCATTCAAATGCCAATTGTCTTATAGTTTACCCTTTTTTGATGCATTTGTTGACCAGTTTTTGTTCACTAATGAAGACATTGTTAACCACTTATGATATGTTTGACTATTGATTGCATT